CCTATTCCAGGGGTTGGGTTGAAGGCCGAAGGGGCAGGGCTAACCTACCTGGCAGATTTGAAGTGGCATCATCACAACAACTTGCAACTAAGCAGCATTTCAGGTGTTTAGGATGGAGGGGGACCTTTTACGACACCGTCACACAGTGGAGTCACAAGAAAGGGGTCGGAGGGGCCCCTGAGGAAGCTTGGGGGGCTGGTTTGGGACCCAAGACCTAAAGGTTGCCCCACGCCCACCTGGGGCCCAATGAGCTAAACGGGGGGGGGATGCCCCCCCGCCTGGCTTTGGAGACGAGGCTCCTCCTCACCGATGAGGACGCGGCGGTCGTCGGCAATGAGCAGCTTGCTGTGGATGTAGACCAGCTCTGTCAGGAGCCTGCCGCGCAGCTCGCCGTGTGTCCGCAGCCCGCAGAAAGAGATGTAGTTCTTCCAGTCCTCCCCCACTAGGTGTGGGGTGGGGAGAAGAGGGGAGAAAGGGTGGGGTGTTAGCAAGACGTGGCTCCATTGGCTCGAGGGCCCTTCGTTCAGAAAAGCGGGAGACAAAGGCCAGGACTTGCACAGCAACATGGAAAAGGCACCTCTGGGCATGTGTGGCGAGGGCGATTACCCCTCAACCCTTAGGGAAATGGGCACACATGCATCTCTCCCACCCCCTGCACACACACGCAGACACACATGATTGAGGTCAGGGCGAGCTTGGTTAAGGGCAGAGGCAGAAATCGCCCCCTGCCTCCTGGCATCTCTCCCTCTTCCCTTGCTCCTTGGAGAGGGACCCCCACAAAAATCACAGAGGAGAGAATTTGGAAACAGCCTCCGGTCAATGTCCAAAAATGTCCAAACTTCTCCCAAGTTCTCTCTGTCTTCCCAGAGGCCACTGTGGGGCTCATGATGCAACGGGTGTGTGTGTGTGTGTGTGGGGTTTCTGGATGGCTTCCCTCTGCTCCTTGACACTTACTGACAGCTCTGAGGCGGCTGACGATGGAGGCCTCCCCTCGGCACAGAGTCCTGCAAAGAAGGAGGAGAGAAATGCAGGCTTGTGGGTCCCCATGAAGCCCCCCCTTCTTCCCTCCCTCATTAAAGGCCCTTTCCGCCTCTCCAGGTCAACCCAAGCACCTAAAACGCCCCAGACGTCTCAATGGCTCAGAGGGGGATCTGGGCCATATGCAGCCTGAGCGCATTTTACTCCCTGAGAAAACCCCCCTTTCTTGTCTTCCAGCTTTAAATGAAGGGGCTACTGAGAGCGGGAAGAGTGAAATCATCAACACCACATCAGAACTTTAAAAAAATAAAAACACGTTTTCCTTCTTCAGCCTCTTTCGTCCCCTGTGGGAAACCTTCTGCTTGAAGGATGTTGCTGCGTTCTGTCCCAGGGACAGGCATGGACACTCCTGGCAGGAAGCGGCAGCTGCCAGCGGGCGGGGTAACCCCTCCTTCTGCCCTTTCGCTTAGAGGTGGAGCATAAGATCAAAGGGTGATCTCAGCCAATTCTGGTTATGATTAGGTAACCAGCATCCTATCTGTCTCTCTCAAAACATACGATGCAAATCATGCTACATCAATAAAAGAGCTCTCAGGGCGTTGCCAGTTGGCTCCGCTGGCTCGGACGTCCGTGGTCGACTCCTTTCTTCTTTCTCTAAGGCAATGAGCCTTCCTTGGCTCCGTGATCACCCACACTCCCCCGGGGACACAACACCAAATGACTCCAGTCCGATGCAACCAAGTGGACAGTAATTCCCACCCCAAATGTCGGTGGGTGGTTCCTGCTCTCCTCCTCGAGCTGTCTTCTTCTCAGCCCCCTGCATCATGGCACGCTCACACACATTTTCCCTCTCCCCTCCGCCTTCCCCCCCCAGCTCCACCTTCCAAACTCACCGGTAGGTAAAGTGCAGAATGGCTTGGATGGAGTTGCCGCCCCCCTGAGCGATGTCGCCCTCAAAGCCAGGCAGGAGGGGGAGCAGGATGTAAACCCGGAACGGTTTCCTCTCACTGTAGAGGAGGAGCCAGGACTTAGAGGGCACGGCCAAGGCGGGGGGGGGCTGACACACTCCCCCAACCCTTCCCCTGGGCCCTCCCATTCTCTGCACACCTTCTGGGGCATGCTTGGACAGTTGGGAGTGCCTCTGACCATGGGCAAAGCAATTCCACCTTCTGACCTAGGGCTTTATGGGAGCCATTGTTCGCTAGCAGGCTGGTTGGGAACTCGCATTCGCTGCCAGGGCCTCTGGCACAGGAACAGCTCTGCAAACATCCGGGAAGGAGAGTGGGTGCCCCCCCCCGAAAGGCCTGCGAGGTGAGTCTCTGGCCTGAGGCACAACCCAGGAAGGACCATGTTCCTTAGCAAACCTGCCCTCGTGAGACAGTGGCAGGCATGGCCACCACGTCCTACCGGCACAGATCCAGCCCATTGAGCCTGGGTTGCCAAAGGCCTTCTCTGGGTCTGCTTTTGTGGGCGTCTTCCAAGTGCCCCCATAAAATGGGGAGGGAGCCAGGGGGATCGGAGCGCCTGATTCAGGTGTGCAGATAACGCAATGTTCCCCAGCCTGCATGGAATGGCTCCCATGCGCCATCGCGGAAGAGTTGCCGCTAATCTGGAGTGACTTCGGATCAGAGCAGGAGCTGTCCCTCCAGCTGATCTACCTCTTGAGGTCGTCGTGAAGACGAAGGGGAGGGGGGAGGAGCAGAGGAGGCTGCCTTGGGGGCCCTGGAGAAAAGACGGGAGGCCAAGGGGAATGGGGCACCCTAAGGATCTCGCCCACACCCACCTGTGCGCAAGCAGCACTCGGTCCACAATGGCGTCTCCCACGGTGTTGAGCACCGAGCGCCCGTCGGCGCAGCTGATGAAGAACTGGTTCTGGCAGGGAAAGATGTCTTGCCTGTGAAGCCGCACTGGCCGAGGGCGGAAGCAGAGCCAAGCCCCTGACCAACCGCCCCCCCCGGCCAAACCTCCCGGAAGAGCCAACCCGCCTCCCAGCCAACCCCCCCCCCAGCTTGATGTTTGGTGCATCCGTTTGGCTTGGGACTACAGGGAGGAGGCTCTGTGGCAAGATCTTCAGGGGGGGACCAGAGAGGCCTCTCTCATCCTCACACCCCGGAATGGTAGTGACAGGAAGAGGCTCTCGGGGTCACCTAGACAAACAGCCCTCCCTCTCCAAGGCAGGACACTGTGTGTGCCGAGCAGATCACCAGATCCCTCCCTCCCTCCCTCCCATAGGGGACTTTCCCTGCTGAACCCAGACGGGTCCCTCTTCTGGCCCCCCTCCTCCCCCCCCATAACCAGCCGGGGCCTACCTCGATGTACAGGTAGTGTTGGCTGTCCTTGATGACACTCAGGTAGGCCTTGTAGATGGAGCACTCGTGGAGGCCAGCCGACCAGCGATCCACCGAACGCAGCACCTGGTGGGGGGGGAGGAGGGAGAGGGCAGAAGAGAGACCCCTCGTAAAGCCAGGGCTTCTCTTTGGAACAGGAGAGTAGGGGTGGACGTGGGGGCGAAGCTGAGACCCCCCCCCACTAACAGCCCTCCAGGGCTCACTGGAGGGGAGGGGAGAGGGGAGACACCCCCTCATCATGTTAGCTCCCCACTCCATCTGTGTTTCCCCTAAGTTTCAACGTCTTTCGAAAAACCCCAAGCAGAAGGGGTCAGGCAGAAGCAAGCCCTCCATTTCAGAGCCCTTCCCCTTTGCCCGTCTGGAGCGACCCTCACCCTCCTGGCTCGTGGAGGTGTCCGGCTGAGTGTGTAATGGGGGTGTGTGGCTCTCCTTGCCCCCACAGTGGCTGGTCAGCTGCCCCTCCCCTTTGGCTGGCTGCATCTTCCCTCCCACCCCACGCACCCACCAGCCCGACTGGGCAAGCCAAACCCCAGATCCTCCATGGGGAACCCCCATGTCTCCTGGCTGCCTCCCGGCCCCATTTCCCCATCTCGGCTCCTTACCTGGATGCTGGCGGTCTGTGCCCCAGGCACCGTGAAAGGGAGGGAGGGGGGCACTCGGGGGGATTTGGGGAGCAGGTAGGGGTACTCGGGCCCCTTGTATTTAGGCTTCATCGTCTGCAGAGGAGAAAGAGGGAGGGGTGAGGCCCCCAAAAGGCCCCTGGAGGAGGGGGAGAGGAGCCACGCTGGCTCTCGAGGGCCCTCCCAGACCCCCTTTCCTCGCCACTGGGCAGGTCTCGATCCATGGGGCCAGGAGAGAGCGACGGGCCACTCTCCACCCCCCCACCCCTCCCTCCTCAACCCCCACAAACGCAGTGGAGACCGAGAGCTTATGAACAGAACAGCGGACTGTTTCTACGATCCTGTTCCTAGCTCGCCAACGCCTCTCCTCCCAAAGGGCTCCGTGTGTGTGTGTGTGTGTGGGGGGGGAAGAGCTTTTCCCAACCCCACCAACTTCTCTGCCTCCCAACTTGAGGGTCTGGAGCTCCAGGGGTGGGCCAGGCACTCTGGCAAACAGGCTCCCGTTTTCTGCCCATGAATTTCAGGCGGGAGGGGCAACCCCCAAGCCTTGGGGGGGGAGGACTCCATCTGCTGGGCCGCCTGCCGGCCAGCCAGCCCGCCTTTCTTGCCCCTCCCTGGGCTCACCTTAGTGAAGTTCCATCGCTGGATGAAATGTCTGGCCACGTCCCGCGCGGCAGCGCCGTGAACGGCCACCCCCACGTCCCGCCAGGGCATCCGAGGGGTTTCGCGCCGGTCGAGGAAATCTGGCCGCGCCGGGCAGGAAGGAAGAAGGACGGACAGAAGGAAGATCAGGGTGGGAGGAGGGTGGCGGGCCTTTCCGAGAGGACAAAACGCACCCTGGCCGCTCCTGCGGTGTCGTGACAATGCTGGGGGGGCATTTTTTCAGGGGGGCCCAGAAGGAGGCTGAGGCAGCTGCAGGGACCTGGCCCAGCACAGCCCTGCTCAGAAAAGAAGCTCCTTTTGGGGGGCACAACGCCAGAGACGGCAGTGCCGTTGTGTCATTGTCTGCCTGTCACACCGCATCTGACTTATGGCAATCCCCGCGGGGAGAGATTCGAGGCCTGGTTCTGCCACGGCCACCCCCTCCCCAGGTGTTTCTGCGGCCACGTGAGGAATTGAGCCCAGGTCTCCGGGAACCTCATCCATCCCTCTGCCCACCCGGGCTCCCCCGATACCGTTATTTCTATCAATACCTTTATTAGGTCAAGAAAGAAAAAGTGTGGAAGGCGGGGGTGGGGAAGAGTGCAAGGCCTACACGTGTGCCACAAGATCCCTCCGCCGGGGAAGGTGTTGCAGAACATCAGGGAGAGATTGTGCGAGTGTGTGAGTGTGCACGTCATGGCGTGTTCCCCTTCCAACCGGGCACTAAAGCCTGGACTGACACCACAGCCGTGTCCCACTGGGAAGGGGCCCAGCCCAGGAGAAAAGGAAAAGCCGCCACCGCTCGCGAGCGTGCGTGTGTGCGTCCCACAGTGAAGGGCCCGGCCTCACCTTCAAAGGGCCTGTCCAGTTGCACCCAGTCCTTGGCAATGAGGTTGCTGTAGTCCTTGCCCAGCCAGAGGCGCTGGTTTGTGGCCAAGTCGACGGGGGCCTCGTCCACCCCCGAAGGGGCAGCCCCTCCCTGAGAGAGAGAGATGGTCAGGGGCGACCCTGCACGGAGAGCGAGGGCACTGGGCGCTGAAGCCAAAGAAGGAAAGAAAAGGAAGAAAGAAAGAAAGAGAGGGAACGTCAGAAAGAGCGAGAGAGACAGAGCGAGAGAGAAAGAGAGAAAACGACAGGACCGGGCGCTGAGGACAAGGGGCCGGCAGAGGGCAGGGTGGGCTCCATCCTGCGAGCGACCACCCTTTCCAGTTATGGGCTGAGCACGGCGGTGACCTCAGGGAAGGGGTCACTAATCAGAAGCCCAGGAAGTGCCGCATAAGAGGCTGCCAAAGAAGGGAGACCCCGGACAGGGAGGAAGGAGCGAGTGGGGGGGGCGGGGGGCACAGGTGGAAACACCGTGTGTGTGTGTGTGTGAAAGAATTGCACTTTGCCCCCTTTTCTAGGAAGGGGGGGTGAGGGGGAGGGGGGCCGTTCCTGACCTTGGAGGCCGGGGAGTCGTCCCCGTCCAGGTCCGTGAGGCGGTACGCGTGGGTGTCCCAGCGCCCATAGGCCAGGTCCAGCCCTCCCAGGAAGGCCACCGACTGGTCCACCACCACCAGCTTCTCGTGGTGGGCCCAGAGGAAGACGATAGAGGAGACGTGGTCAGGATGGCGCATGACCTGAAGGGAGAAGAAAGGGAGGGGCTTTGGGCAGTGACACAAAAGCGGAGCCACGTCGGCACAGAAGGCTGCCTCGAAACTGGCTCCCACAAGGCTGCCCGGTGGATCGTTCTTCTCTTTCACGACCACCCCCCTCCCCAGTTCTCTTCCCCCCCCCGAAGCCCAGTAGGCCTCCTTGCATGGAGGTGGAAGCCAGATCAAGCTGCTGAGCCTTTCAGGGGCCGCAAAACCCTTGGGGCTCCCCCCCCCGCAGGACAGCCTCCTACAGCCCGCCCTCTGGGCGCTTTCAGCGAGGGGACAGGCTCGCCCCTCCCGAAAAGGGTCCTGTGGCGCATTGAAGGTAAGAGAGCAGAGGGAAGCTTTTGGGGTGCCCTTCGCCTTGCCTGCCTGCCTGCCTGCCAGGAAGAGGAGGAGGAGGAGGTGGGGAAGGGAGTGCTTCTTTTCCAAAACTGGAACGGCACCTAATTGGGTCACCTTGGCCTGGGCTCCTCGCAGGACGGAAAGGCTGCCGTTCAGCCTCATGGGATCAAAGAACGGCAGAGCCCGAAGGGATCCTGACCGCCACGGAGCCCAACCTTCGGTTGGCTGGAGCAGGAAACCCGCTGCTCCAATGGGTGCATGGCATCTCTTCCAAAAGCCCTGCCGGGGGAGAGCCCTCCTCCCTCCGAGGCAGCCGCCGGTCCCTCTCCAGAGCTGCCCTTTGCCATTAAAGAGCGAGCGCCTCTTGCTAAGGTTTACTCCAAACCTCCTTTGCTGGAAACTGAAAATCCGTCTCCCCCAATTCTCTTTAGGGTTCATACTCAGAGATGGCCTTGATTGGGAAGCCAAGGTGTGACCGGCAGGTAGAGGCGCCCAAGGCGGGAAGGAGGAGGAGGTCCAAAGGGAAACCGAGGCCGGGGGTGGGCTGGGGTTGTGCATGCGTGTGGGGAACCCTGTGATCCGAGACGGAGCAGGCAAGAGGGTTGCAGGGCTGGGGTCCAAAGGGAAACCGAGGCCGGGGGTGGGGCGGGGTTGTGCATGCATGAGACAGCCCAGGCAAGAGGGTTGCAGGGCTGGGGGATGGGATGGGGGAGGTAGAAGCAGCCCGAACGTCCAGCTGCTGGCTGGCTCTGAGCCGTGGGAGGGGGCTTCCTACCTTGATGTTGGGGTGCAGCAGCATGAGGGCCCGCTTGCTGTAGTCGCTGTTGATGCCGAGGGCCAGCTCGACCTCCTTGAAGAGCAGGACGCAGATGCGGACCCCCTCCTCCTGGGAAAAGGCCAGTGGGGTGGGGGTGGGTGGGAGAAGAGAGGGGGTTGGATGGGCCAGTATCAGCAGCTGGAAGGGATGCCGGCCAGTCGGCCGGCCTTCCCCACCGCCCAGTTCCCCTCCCTCCCCCTCTCCCCCTGCTGGCTCACCCACCGCTTTGTGCTTCAGGATGAGGTCCAGCCTCCATTCATCCGACTGGGCCGGGCGCTTCATGTAAACCTCGGGGCTGAGCCTGGAAAAGGGAAGAAGCAGCTGGTGGGGGGTGGTGCCCCAAAGGTAATGTCCCCCTTCCCTCCTTTTTGGCGGGGAGGGGTTTGGACTAGAAAAGCCCTTTGCAGAGTTGTCTTGGGGCTGGGGTGAGGAAGCCCCTTTGCATTTCTCAGGAGGAGGTGGTCTGAAAAGAACTCCTCTCTCCTCCCCCCCCCCCAATATCTGCTCTTCTCCTCTCCCTGCTGGCTCCTCCATTCTGAGAGAGGAAGCATCACCTGCTGAATCTGTGCCTGCCACTCAGTCCTTAAGAGCCATGTCCCCACAGCAGAGGGAGTGAATGAGTGCCCACCGCCATTCTGTCCATGAAACAACAAGTTATTTTGGCGAAGAAAATTGTAATTCTGATGGTGACTTAACTGTTTTTGGTGCAAGCCTAGTTTCTAGAACTTCAAGCCCAGTCATTGCTTTTTAAAAGTTATGTTCCTGCCATTTGGAAAATGGCTTTAGGGCTAGCAGGTTACAAATCTCCTTGTGCTGAGGAGGCCCACAGGACTCACAAGGGCTCCCCCTAACCTGGCCCTCCCCCTTCCCCCGTGGGGTGCCCCCCCCGAGAGCCGCACCACCAGTCCGTGATGAAGATCTCCTCCTTGGCTTGCATCAGGGCGTCGGCCACGGCAGCAAAATATCCGGCCCCGTTGACGAACCTGGATGTGGAGAGCGCGAAAAGTGAGGGGGAGGGGAGAGAAGGCTCCACCCCTTCATCCCAGCCCCAGCCCCACCCCCCAGCAGGGCTCCACTCTCACCAGCGGGCAGGGGTCTCCTTCCGCACAGGAGCGAAGGCCTCGTAGCGATGCAGCCGAAGGAAGTCCTTGCCCCGATTCTCGGCTAACTCGGAGATCTCTTGGCCCCACCAGAGAGCCTGCCGGTAGCTGCTGCACTTCAGGATGAGGGACCTGGAGGAGGAGGAGGAGGAAGATGCAGAGGGTCATGATCCCAAAGACTGACCCACAGCTCTCAACCCACTCCAATAGGCAGCTGAAAAGACCGCTGCAGCCCCTAACGCTTTAAGTTAAACTGGGGAGCTGCTTCCCTGCCTTCCAGGGTCTCCCCTCCTGGCTCCCACCCCCCACCCCCAGCCAAGGGGACTTTGGGAAAGGGTGCTTTTGAGGGAAGGCCATGAAGGGCCCGCAGGGATGGCGTTCGGTCGGGACTGCAACGGAGAGGGACGACAAAGCAGCCGGGTCTCTTCCGTCTGTGTGGCTTCGAGGACCAGGACCTTGGGGGGGGAGCGCTTTTCTCATCTTCTGCCCCGGGGAAGAAAGGGGAGCAGGAGGGTTGTCCCTTCTAAAGCTCCCCTCCCGGCGATCCCCTCAAAACCAAGCCTTCCTCCCCAGCGAAGCCGACTCGGCCCCTCTAGGAG